ATTTTAGTATAAATAAGCAGTTTATAAATAAATGGACTATTCATATTTTCTCTAGTAAAAAATAGAATGATTGGCAAATATATTTATGTATTACACTCAAATGAATGCTTGATTTAGTTTTCAAAAATCTGACAATTATCCTTTGCAACAGCAAATGAAACTTATGGCTTGAATCAAGTTCTCCATCTATCAAGAATGCAGTTAATTGAGAAAGTACTAAGAAGTCATCGGGTTTCACACATAACAGTTTGACTTGTTTATGTTAAATTATTAGAGTAATTATCATAAATGTGATGGCTTTAGATATGTATGACATATATTTATGATTGCAATTTTAAAAAAGGTTGAGCACCTTTCAAATGAATTTATAAAATAAATATGTGATGTAGATATAAATGTGTTTACTTTTGATCTAACCACTAAAAGATCCTAGAGTATTTCATTAAGGTGTTTCAAAAGACCCTAAAAGATCAAAAAATAACTTCATTCTAAAAAAAGAGAGAAATGTCAGTTTTATAAACATTTTTCCTATTGGATCTCAAATTAGCGTTGGTCTTTGGTTTTATGAAAAACATGGTCCAGACTCAGTGAGCAGACGTATTTCCAGATCACTCAAGATTTCTATATTATAAGAGTAATATGAAAATCTCTGCAGAGTTCATAATCTTATGACATTACAATGGTTTTATGGTGAGGCTAATGCAAAAATCTCATCTTAGGTAACTTACTCAATTAGTTCATGGGGACTACAGCATACAGAGTTTATATGTAGTATACTTTCAAAATATTTCCTAAGTCTTTTATATAATATAGCCACATTTAAAAAAAAATTCCTTCAGGTCTATTTCCCCTTTTTTCTGCACCATTATGATAGCATTACACATTATAGTTATAAAGATACCCTACTGGTACAGGCTAATTTGTGTCCTCCCAAAAATTTATTCAGTGAGTTCCTAACTACCAGTACTTCAGAATGTGACCATAGTTAGAGATAGGGCCTTTAAAGAGACAATTATACCAAAATAAGGTCACTAAAGTGGTCCCAATACAATATAACTGATGTCCTTAAAGAAATGTGGGACACAGACATGAACTGATGGGAAACCATGTGAAGATGACCATTTACAAGCCTAAAAGAGGCCTCAGAAGAAACCAACCATATTGATGCTTTACTTGAACTTCTACCCTCCAGAATTGTGAGAAAATTAATTTCTGTTATTTACACTCCTAGTCTGTGATACTGCGTTATGGAAATCCTAGCAAATTAATGTACACACTCAATTTGAAATGAGCATGCAAAGACATCCCCCATGACGTTAAGAAGGGGGTAAGAAAACATGAAAGTCTGGATGATTTTCATGAATCCCTACATGTACTATTACTCACCCCATTCAAATTTTACTATATTTCACACTATAATAGATCATAAATATTTGGGTCTTTTGTTGTTGTTATTGATAGATATTTATGCTAAAACTGCCATTAGTAAGACATGTGCATTCTATAAAGAAAGACAAAGGTCATGTGGGATCTTTCTTTATCTAATGA